TTGCTGACAAAGATGTTAAACAGCACTGGTCCCAATACTGATCCTTGCAGAATGCCGCTCGTCACTGGTCTCCATCAATTACATATGAACTGTCCTTTAAGCCACATCAATGTTGCTCCCCTTAGGCAAGGTTTAAATAAAAATCAACCCACACAAACAGCAAAGACTAAATATTACCATGTGTATGCACACATCACTTGCTATTTGGACTGTCAAGATAAGTAAGCTCACTCCATGGACTCAAAACATCTCTGCAGATTACCAAAGGACCCAAAAGATCCCCTTGGATTACTAAGTCTGGTGAAGTGAGGAAAAAAGCCCTCCTGCTTACACCAAGTATTATGGATACAGCCTGGATGGCTACAGCAATAGCAGACTAAATTGAGAAAGCTCATGCCAGTTCATGGAATTTCAAACCTTTCTTAAAATGGGATTTTTATCTGAATTTTTATTCTGATTCTTCACAAAAACAAGAGCTGTGGCCTGAGGAATGGGGGTGAGGTCTGTGTGATGAAGCTACTCAGAAGATGGATGCACAAAACTACAGGAAAGCACACAGACTGCAGAGGGATGCCTGGGCACTCGCAGGCTACCACAAAACTGGTACCCTGCAAAGGTTGGAGAGGAAGGAGAAGAAAGCATGCAGAAAACCCCCAGTATCCTTCAGGTGAGATACAAAGCTGCTGGGTAAGAGAAGAGGCAGACTTTCTCACCCTCAGGAACCAGAAATCTATGGGAAGACAGAGAGTCCAGTATTCTTCACATTAATTAGTAGTCATACTGCAATCCACGAAACACCAAAACAGTCTTTCAGAATCATGAATTTACTAGGCATACATCACCAAAAAAAAAAAAAAAAAAAAATTACATAAACTTTAAGAGGAGAAAAAAACTCCACAAAACACAACAAAACCCCCACACAACAAGCCCAGCATACAGATCTTTTCACAAAGATATTCTCAGATTTTATAGTAATCTGTTACACTAAATCATATCAGCCCCCCCAAAAAAGAAGAATTTTAAAGTAAAAAATTAGAATCCCTAACTTAAAAATTCAATTCACATCTACACATAGCAAGATTAAAATGCAACTGTCCTTTGCGCTCCACATCCCCCTAATTCAGGTGATTCATGGTATAAAACTCAACATCAACTCTGGAAGACCCAGTAGTTTGCTTCCCCTGTACAAGATTAACAGTGTTGGAAATTACTAAGCATGTAATAAATAGTAACTGCTTTTTAATCAGTGGTACAATATTTGGTGCTTTCACAGAAGAATGCAAGACTGTATGGAGAACTGTCAAGTAAAGCTGTAGGATTTAGTTAAATTCACATCAGGCTTCATTTATATATAAGTGAATATATTTATATGTGGAGAACTTGAATTGCTCCATATATATTACATTATCAATATTGATGTCAATGAACTTTTCAGCCAGATGAAGTCTCTATGTGTTGACACTCACTCATGTTGGACTATTCTTGACAAATCTGTTCCCCTCTACTCCACTGAGGTCAACTGAAGACAGCCAACGGAAGGGCTCTGCTACATATAAGTAAGGATGATATCATCCTGTCTTTATACGCTCCATGCACAGAGCAAAACCAAGAAACTCGCCTGTCCTCTCAGTCTGCTAATATCTCTGAAAAGCCATCAGAGAGGACCACCATGTAGCTAGCAGCTGTTTCTTAGACATCTCTAAATGAAAGATTTTCTCTTTTTTAAGGTCTAGGGATGATGAACATGACTAAAAATAATCTGGAGTCCAAGCACAGTGGGAGGGAGCAGAAGACACGGCTGCGCTGAGAGGCGCATCCAGCTGCTGAGCCTGCAGGTGCATCTGAAGTAGACAGACAGGATGAAAGATTAGGGAACGTGTTCCTGGGCAGGATAAATTTGAGTGATGAGGGAAGTTTGCAAAAGCAAATCAGAAAAAAACCATGCTTAGATAAGATCAGGTCTAGAGGAAAATAAGACAAATGGGGGAAATCAAATCACAGTTGAGATCTCAGAGATGTGAGTAGAAAGAAGAGCCAAAAAGAGAGAAGAGAGTCAAACTATGAAAGAAAAGTGGCATTAGGTCTAGTGTGAAAAATTATGAACAGCTAGAAAGAAAAAAGGTGGCAATGAGAATGGTGAGTGTGAAAGGAAATAGTCTGACTTTAATATAGTCTGATTAATAAGGAAATGGTAAATTGCCATACAATTTTCCAGTTCCCTACAAAATCTAGATCTGATTGTGAACCATTCACACCACAGCTAGGAGAGCTTGAGAAATAAATATAAACATTGAAAACAACAACTATCTCTTCCAGTGCTTGTGATTTATAAAGGCTCCAAGTCAGTGGAATGGGGTGGTAAGTAGCAGCACATCACTGGTGTGAAACAGATACTTTCCTAAACTCAAACACATCCAACTTTCCATCCTTCAGCAACCAAATGCAAATGCGAATGCTGTAGGTCTTGAGCAGGGCACCGTGGAAGATAAAAATAGTTCTGCCTACAACAAACACTTGTCTCTACAGGCTCATAGCACGGCAGTTGAGAAGCACGAGGCACACTTTCCATTTCTTAATAGAACATCAAATCACATGCTCAGCCACTTGCAGATTAAAACTAGCTGTCTTACAGCTGTGCAACTAGTGATACGATTAAAAGAGCACATAAAATCCTTGTAAAGATACTTGTCAATTTGGGATTCTCCAGACACAGCTCATGCCCCAAAAAGCCACACTGAACAACACATGGCAATATGAAAAACACAGCAGAAGAGGCGAAAAAAAAGAAAAAAAGGGAAAAAAGAAAAAAAGAGTGCAAAATGCCCACAACTAAATTAATGTATATTGCAAATGTGCAAATATGTTTTATTTCGTATCGCCTCTTAAGCAGCATACGGGGAGGAACATTAGAGAATTGAGCTGCAGAAGGTTTAGAGGAGATACAGGTGTTTGAAATAAAAAAGAATGGCTCTCTACACATTAAATTGGAAGAAGAGGCAAGAGCAGACACCAAAGAATGATTTTTCTCCATGCTCTTTCCTATGTGCATGACCTAGCGACTGTAGAGAATGCCAAAATTAATTTTTTTGGATCTTGCTGAAGTGCTGTCATGACAGCAGTCCAGTGAGATAAAAGGGCACTCAAAACTGCAGTCACACTTTAAGCTCACTAACCATTTCGTTACTCTCTGATAGATTCCATTTTATTACAGAATTGTTTTCACATGGAAATGGCTTATTTGTACAAGGAGAAGCCTCTCTCCTGAAGAAGATTATGGCAATACATCAAAGAAAACCCCAAAGAAAGAATCTGGTTGCCCAAAAGAACACAGTATGTTCTAATTCTCCTTTTACTGTATTTTTTCTGTTTCTTTTTAATGGTAGGTAGATACAGACAAAAGAAAGGAGTGGAAAAACAGTGAGAAATAGCAACAAGGAGCACTTCAAGGAAAGAAAGGTTAATTACAGCACAAGAAAAGATGCGAGGAATGTGAAGAATGTCAGCAAGTAAACAAATCAATAATCTACAGTCATCATCTACATTCCTGAACTACCTTGGAAGCAAGGATATCTGCCCTTAACATTCTTGACAACAGTAGAGATTTTCAAGGAAGGCTTCCCCCACAGTGCACTCTGTTTCTGCCAGTACCCCTGTGTCAACAGCCGATTACAAGGGAGCCTTTCCAAAGGGAGCCTGTACTACCTCTTGTAACAGTTTTGTTAATTCGAGCTTGTAAATACATTGGACCAGCCCACAAACATTAACAAGCCGAAATTAATGTTGTGATCATTGCATTTAGTTGAACAAAACCTCAAGGTCATTGTCAAACAATTGCAGGAATGATGTACTAGATTCCCCTCTCACCACTGCTCTCTAAAACACACCGGAGCCTAGCAGCTCATACGGAATAAAAGCACTGATCAATAAAGGCAGAAGACTAATGTGGTTTTGCAGATGTATTTCTTCTCAATGGTATCAGCATACTATAAAGTAAGAGTTTTACAGAGGAAATGGGAGCTGAGCAAGAGAGACAAGAGGACATAAAAGTCAAGACTTCTTAACAAGTTGGGAACATTCCTATTGTTAATTGGGAAAAAAACCCTAAAAACCAAACAACACCACCCCCCACACACAACCCCCAAACCAAAACAAGTATAAAATCAGGGATATTACACCAAGTTACATGCCACAACAGAAGTGGATCTGCAGTGCAAAACAGTGGATGTTAATGACCTTACTGACATCCACCCCATACAGGTTTCAGGAGGGGTTTACAGACTAATTTTAGTCTGGTCCTGTGAACTGAGCCTCCACTAGAGGTTGAGGTGAATAGTCTGTTTTAGTTTCATCCAAAAAGTTTAGTTTCACCTAGATCACCCTGTGGTGCAAACTGAAATATGGTGAATTGGGAACAACAGAAATTCAACTCGAAAGTGTAACCCTGAGCCAATGCTAATACAGATTTACCCAAAGTTGTAATATGACTCTGCTGTTATATCTAAAAAAGGCTTGTAAATCTAGCATCTAACTCTGTCTCAAACAAAAAAAAAACCCCAAGATAAGATGATTCCACATGAGCATTGTTCCTTAGACACTCACTTTTGTCTACACGACATAGTAGTAATTCTCCAAAAATTGCTTTGCCACACAAAATATAATGTACAAAACCCACAGAAAAAAAATCAGCATACAGAATTATTTCTAAACTGGACTTGCTTGGCTTCATGCATGCACAATATGCTTTTGCAACACTTGCTTTTGCAAATGAAGCTGATACAATATGATTAAGTAGCTGGGGGCATCTTTTCATGTGACTCAAGAAATTTCTTAATGCTTATATGAAGTGTAGCAATTAAAACAAGTCTGGTTTTAATGCCACTCTGCTGCCAAATGGAAGGATTCCCCCCAACTGTCCACATGTATTCAGCAGACTTGACAATCATCTTTGAAGTAATGGATGCACTTACATTAAAAAAAAGAAGAAAGAAAACCTACTGTACCTGTATGTTGTTCTTCAATCCAAGCTTGTAGATACATGAAGAGGAGTAGACCAGCTACTCCAAACATCAGTACAGACACAAAGACTTGTCTTAGGTTCATGACCCTATCAGAGGGCTACTTTTCAGTTTTCAGAAGGACACATGGCTCACTTTCCTGAAGTTTTCAGCGTGCCTGCATGTTCTTCAGTAACCTTCCCTGAGACACTGACCTGGAATAACAAGAGATGGAGCTAGTTCTCATGTTACATTTTTATTGTTCACCAGAGACTGTGTAAACAGCATACCATATACAAGCTGGACCTCTTACAAGCTGTTAACTTCAATGCTTAGATTCATGTTCATGATCTCGACAATCTTTCTACCCCTGGATGAGTTCCAAGCTGAAGTGTTTCTCAACGTGGCTGCAGAGACCATTCCACCTCCACACTGCCAGACTTCACAACGGAGGGAGGTGACACCCCAGACGAGATGCCCAGATGTCACACCAGTATACCACTGCCCACCAACCATCACAGCTGAGAAGCTACAGCAGCAGCTGGAGGTCTGCCCAGGTGGCCAGATTGTTCCCCAGTGCTACCAGCCCCCTGCGATGGGCAACCCAGCGCCTGTGCTTCTGGCCCACACAACCCTGTGTGTGTCCGAGGAAGGATGCCTGCAGTCACCTTCCCAACATGACGACTGCAGTGCCTCGGCATCAGTTCAGCCCACGCTTTGAGGAGTCATGTTCTGATGTTTACCCTCAAACATGAATCCAAGTACAGTTTTGCAGGGTTAATGAAGGTCATCATAAGACAATATCAGTAACACAGCAGAAAGGGAATTAACGGATCAACTTTTTACTCTGCTATTTTGCAACATGGGAAGGACTTGTCAAGAACTCAATTCTTGTCACTAAGTTCAATGGAAATGAGATCAAATGTAAAACCTTACCAAAAAGATTACTTTCTTGCACAGCAGAGAACCCAGAAAGAGGAAGTAATTTACCTGATACCCTGCACCTGCCGCAAAGGGGCCATAAAATTCAGTTTATCAACAACAGAACGTAGAAGACGCTGTGGATAATAAAAAAGCAACTCCTTAACCTGAATCAGAATGTGTTCACTTTGAAAGTGCGTTACTAGAAGCTGAAGAGCAGCTGTTGAAACTGGCCTGCACAGCCAAAGAAAGAGTG